TGTGTATCCGTGCCCTCCTGTTCCTCTCCTCCTACCCAGAGGTTTGATGGTGTTCTCCTCCTCCTCCTTGTCCTTGCTGGACTTCCCGCTGGACATCAGGGCGGCGATGGAGAAAGCATTCGCCCGGGATGAGAGCTGCGGTTTCGGGGACGACGTGTACTCCATGTCGGGCGGAAAAACAACAACAAATTCCTCTTCAGGTTCAAAGAAAACAGCAGAAATCCTCCAGCAGCTGCGCGCCTTCAGCCTCCAGGAGAAAAAACAATCAGACTCAGGAAAGCCGCGCGCACTTTGTCCCAGATTTGAGGATTTTGTTTGTTATTATTATTATTATTATTTTAATTGTGCAGGGTTCTGGGTCCTGCTGGACTCATGGTGGAAGGCTGGTTCGTGTCAGACCTGAGGCCAGCTGCTTCTGTGCSACTCTCCGCTCCGGTTCCCCCCTCCCCTTATAATTCCCGGCAGCCCCTCCAATCAGGGCCTCTGCCTCCACGTGACGCGCGCTCCGTCCCCACAGAGGCCCTGAAAACCAGCAGCCAATTAAATAACCTCACTTTTATTTTTTATATTTCATGCCAAAGATCCAAAGCCCACAGAGAGGAGAGCTGGGAGGGAAGAATGTGAGAAGTTTATGAMTGTAGGCTGATGACAGACTGAAGTGACAAATCTGCAAATATATGAGAGGAAATCCTTCACTGTGAGCACAATGTTAGGAAAAATAAGATTACTCACTCATTTAAAGGCTTCAAAAACAATAAACTCGTGGTTTTATTGGAACACGAGAGACGACGGAGAGTTTTATCATAAAACAAATCCTAAAAGGCCAAAGAAAGTTGAAAGAATTTCATCAAATCAAATATCTGATGAATTAAAATGTTTAATATTTTTACACTTTTCTTTAAATTGATTTGAATGCATTTAATTCCAACTAGAACACAGTCGTTTCATTTTGATTGTTTTCTTTTTAAGCAACTTTAACAAACTGTTTATTCAAATTTGATGAACAATAACTATATTTCAGACATTTGCGTTCAGATTTCTGTCATTTTTACTTGTTTCATAATGTTTTATGCTGGGATTAGAAAAGGAAGAGAAAAATACACAAAGGGTGTTTTTTTTTATTATTTAAACCCACTGAGTAAAACAGATCCCAGCACAGATCATCTGTTCAAAAGTTCATCTTTTCAGATAATCTGAGGTTCAAAACTGTTTTTGAGAGAAACTAAATTAGGAAAACAGCAAAATAAAAGATTTTAATGACTGAACCCTGTTTCAGCAACGTGTTTTTGTTGATTTGTTTTTCCCCACTTGAAGTCAGKGAGTTAGGAAAATAATGTAATTAAGTTTTAAGGTGGATAAGAAACAAATTGGCGCCCAGTTCTCCTTCCACACAGTAAAAACTGATGGGTTTAAAACATTATGTCGCCCAGCTCTGGGTCAAATGTGGACCGAGTCGACTCTGGATGGTTTGAACTTGGCGATATATCCGTTTACTGTCTTTAGCTGTTTGTTTGGAGCCACAGATGCAGAATATTTGCACATCTGGATCCCAGCAGTCAGAGAGACTAGAGGGAGCCACATTCAAGCTTAGAGGACTTCACCTGCATCGTGCTCCCAGTGAGGACCTCTGTGTTGTCAGTTTCTGTGTGTGTCCTCAATGTGACTTTCTTTCCTCTGTGAGAGGCATAACACACACATATACATTCACACTCTCACACACACATATACACACAGAGAGCCAGAGACCGGCCRGGCGGCTAAACCTATTAGGAGGCTCCTGAATGCAAATCTGCTGCTGCAGATATTTAATAAGAGACCTGCGCCGGCAAATCAGATTACCTCACAATTGCCAGCGGATAATGTGCTAAAAGCTTTCCAACTTAAGCGTCCCTCCTTACTGAATATTATTCACACTTYGAGGGGCCAGATCCGCCTTAAAGACACAGGCAGCAAGGCCCAGATGGTGGTCTGCGGTGGTGCTTTTCACACATGGAAGCAGAGATTTTAAAAAGCAACGTGTCTTCGTTTCTACGATAAATAATCATCGAGCCCTCATGGTTAAAGTGGTAAAAACAACCGAGAATACAAGACACAAGAAGAGTGTGGATTATGAGTTATTTAAAAAAGAAATAATGTTTAAATTCAACATTATGTTGGTTTTCTCGCTTTTGTTTTTGTTTCCTAATGCTCCCTTTAGCTTTTAGCTAAAGTTATGCTTTATAGCGAMTGTTTTGCTAGATTTCGTTTGCAGTTTGCAGGGATTTTTTGTGGAAAAAAGGGAATTTGGTGAACAATGCAGGGAAACTGACAACCAAATATACTTGGACGTGCCGGATTTGAGATTTTAAAACTGTTTTAATTTTATCCTGATGCATCTCAGTAATCCAGGTTCTTCTGGACGGGTTCTTCTCTAATGAAACGTTTCGTCTCTCTTCCAAGAGACTTCTTCAGTCTGAGAG